CCATGTATACCGAACGGGATATGATCGGTATGCTCAGTGGTACATGAAGCGCTACGGTCTTAAACGCGAGCAACTCGCGATGGTGCCGGTACTCATGAGCTCTATGGCGGCGCGCCATCCGGACGCCATGTGTCGTGAGCCTTATAAACTGGACGAGGTGCTGCGCTCACGCCGGATTGCCCCAGTCACCAACCTGCTGGAATGTGCACGGCGTGCTGACGGCGCCGTGGCGCTGATACTCTCGAGTGAATCACACTACGCACGTTACTTTGCACGGAAAAAATTAGATTCGTCAAAACCGGTCGTAGTGAGTGTCGGCGAAGCCTCCGGTCCGCTTTTTCCACCCGCCATTGAAAACATCACACCCGAACTCTTTTCCTGCGAACGGGCGGTCAAATTTGCGCTTGGCGCCGCGCAGTTGGGCATTCAAGATATTGATTTTTTTGGTCTTTATGACTGTTTTCCGATTTGCCTGATTCGCGCGATTGAGGCGGTGGGCCTCTGCCCGATTGGGAAGGGCGGGGAGTTCGTGGAGGCCGCGTACAGTGAAATGATGAAGAATCAGGGCGTCATTGAGCCGTCACAGCTCCGCATCAACACGCACGGCGGGTTGCAGTGCTTTGGTGCCCCATGGGAGGTTCCCGCGATGTACAACGTCACGGAGGCCATCGCACAGATGGCCTGCAGCGCTGGGAATCGCCAAATATGGCCGGTACCGAAGCGAGCCATGGTGTATGGTAACGGAGGCATTTTCTCCGCGTCCTCCGTCGCCGTGCTGGGGAATGGCGTCTATTAATCCCCAAACTTCACCCCTCGAAAAAAAAAAAAAAAAGGAAAAGAAAAATGGAACCAATGTGTTTTGAGTGAAGGATTTCATTTATTTATTATTTCTTTTTTTCAAAGTACGGGCGTTGGCTTTTTTTTTTTTTTTTTTTTGCCTCTCATTTGCATTCTGGATATTTTTTTTTCTTCTCGACTGTTTTTCCCAGGCAATGACAAACGTATGCCCTCCCTCTTTTCCCCCACCTTCCTGTTTGTTTGTTTTCTTTTTGATGTCTCTTTCGTTCTTTCTTTCTTTTCTTTTTTTTTATTATTGGTATCTGAACAGTGCTGTGGGAACGTCACTATGTTGGCTGGGGGTGCTGCCTGCAAGTTTATTGCCGCCTCTCTCTGTGTGACTACTGCACTCAGTCAGTGGTCGACGACCCTCCTACGGGTATTTGGCCTCATTCCGGCACACACCTTCTCCGTGCATAGCTATCCGTGGAACGTTCTCAGCTATATCTTTGTGGAGTCCAATGTTATTCTTTGTGCGATTGGTGTCGGGTACATGCTCAGCATTGGAGCAATGGTGGAGGCCGCGGTGGGCACCGTCACATTTCTGCAGCTAATTTTGGTGACAGGGACTGCGACCGCTGGCCTTCTGCTTGTATTGAGTGCACTGTTGCATCCGCTGGGGTTTTCATGTTTCCTGCAGTGCTTCTGTGGCGTGTGGCCTCCCGCCGCCGCACTTCTCGTTCCATGGGTGGCGGCGTCTCCAATGGCTGGAGCCCTTCGAGGCATTTTGGCCTCGCATGTACAGCGGCGGCATTTGCCGGCAATTCTTCTTGGCTTTTCAGTTGTCGTGGATATTTTATTTCGTGAACGCCAAAAAATCAGTGATGAGGATATAGATAGTGAGAATATATTCCCAGGCAGCATATTTTTACCTGCATTTTTGGCCCTATGCATCTCGTGGATGCTTCAGCCGCTGTTCCGCGTGGAGCCCCCGGTGGCGTTTCGCGTGTTGCTTCACCCAATTGCCTCAAGGCTGCTCTCCTGCTTTGGCGTCAGTCAGCGGCGTGGCAGTGCAGAGGAGCAAAAAGACATGGGCATAGAGAGTGCGGTGTCGATCACCATCCTGCGCGGCGCTGCCAACCTCACGCCGCTTCCGGGATCTACGGAAGAGGACGCGGAGCGGCGCCGCTCCATTGCTCTCGCGGCGCTTAACTCGCGGCTACGGGAAAACACCCCGATGGCCCCGGACCTATCCAAAAGGAGTGACATGTTGGCGTAAGCTTCTTTTTTTCTTTCCATCACTGCCCGGAACTGCACCAGTGTTCATTTCTGCCCTGTCGCGCGCAAAGGGCCCGCACATGACAGTTGGATGGAGTACAACTGAAGGGGGAAAAAGAAGGGATGCGTGTGGTTGGTGAATGAACGAAGCAACTGATATTTCCCCTCCTTTTTTTTCTTTTTGGGTATCTCTCGTGCTGATGGTGTGCATGCTCATGGGCCATAGATGCGGCATGCGAAGAGAGGGAGGGAGAGAAAGATACACGTTGCCGTTGACCGTGAGGGCGTGTGTGTGCGTGTATGCATATGTGTGTTTTTGGTTTGCTTTCGTTTTATTATTATTATTTTTTCTGCTTTGCGGCAGAATTGCCCCGCGACAAGTTAACGCTTAGCCAACAAAGAAAAAAAAAAAAAAAAAGAGGCCGCCATGAGTGTCACATCCATCTCGCCCATTGGAGGACCCACTGGCAGCGGTACCTCCGTTCGGGACGCTATCGATATATTGCTTTATGAGGAGAACCAGGGGCAGCGGAAGCGCAAGCTGGTACTGGAGCTGAACACACTGGTGCAGGGCGCCGAGTTTGCAGAACAGTTTCTTGAGGAAGATGGACTGAACATCCTCCTGCTTCAGATTAAAACAGCGAGTGGTAATCTTCAGGCGGCGATGCTCAGTGTCCTGCGCAACTTACTCGTGTACGTGAACGCGGTGGAGCAGATTGCTGAAACCCCTGAACTTGTGGAGCGCATCTACGGTCTGCTGGTTCCTTCCCATGACGGCAGTTTGGTGCCGCTAAACATTGCGAAGCCAACGCTTGAGACTCTCATTGTTATCTGCGGCATGGTGGAGGGCGGCCACAAGATGATTAATCAGGCTGCAAAGAAGCGTATCGGTGTGGGTGTGCTCCCGTACGCCCCGCTTGTCCCACTATTGAGCGGTGACGATCTTCTCGTGACGCACAAGACGCTTCTATTTATGAACATTCTCCTCAAGAAGAAAAAAGAGGTCTCTGAACTTAAGGCGAAGAAACTTTTTTTCCGCTGGAAGGAGTGCGGCGTCCTCTCGCTTCTGAAGCGTCTTACTGTCATTGAGGACGCTGACGTGGCGAAGCAGCTAGCCAGCTTTCAGCGGCTGTCTAACTTCACCATCCCGCGCAGCTGGGAGGAAGCGAGCAAATATAGACTGCAGTACGAGGAGGCAAAGCGGAAGTGCGACGCCGCCATGGATGCTCTTTATGTTTTCCAGCAGCAGCAGGCAAAGGTACGTATGTTGAAGCAGGAGCTTGAGCGCACGCAGGAGACGGTGCGTGCCATGCGTCTTCTTATACCACATACCTCCGTCAATTATCATCCAGCGCGACGCTTTCACGCGGGTGGTGGTCTTCACGTCGATCAGTTGGCGTCTGGCAAGCTGGAGCCCATAGACGTTTCCGCCGGGCAGAATGAAATCACGGCTGCACGCATGGCCCTGTTGGAGAAGTTTGTGACGGCCAATGACATTCGCCCTGTGGTGTCGAAGATGTTCGCCGCAGGGCCCGCCGGGAGGCATGCTGCCATGAACAACGACGACGAGCATTTTGCTCCATCCGACGGCGACGATGAAGAAGACATGATGCCGCCGCCGAGCGACGAAAGTGACGCCCCGCCACCTGACGACGAGGAGGACGACAAGAGTAATAATGAGGAGGCGGCCTCAAACGGGGCGGCACAACAGAAGCAGCAGCAGCAGCAGCAGCAGACCGCCCCGAAAGGGGAGAAACCGCTACCGCCGCCGCCGCCACCATCGCTGCCAGTGGCTTCACAACAACACCCACAACAACGTTCCGCATTGCCTGCCAAGGCAGGGCCGCCGCCGCCACCACCGCCACCAACTTCTGCAGGAGGTAAGAAAGGTGCGCCACCGCCACCGCCGCCGCCGCCGTCCGGGGCGAAGAAGCCGCCAAATGGAAACCTCCCTGTCCCCGGACCAGCTGCAAAAACTCCCTCGGCCCCGTCAAAGGTGTTTTTCAAGGGACCCGCACCGAAGAAGCGAATGAAGCCGCTGCATTGGGACAAAATTCCTTTTTCCGATACCGTGGAGTCCGTGTGGTCGCTGATCAATGCGGGCACTCTGCACGACACCACCTTTGATTACGCGGAGTTTGAGCAACTTTTCTCGCAGAAGGAGGTGGAGGCAAAGCCAGTTTCTCAGCCAAGGCCCCAGAAGGTTCTCCTGTTGCGCGAGGATTTGCATCGTAATCTCTCCATTGTACTTCATAAACTTCCAAGCATTCCCAACGTGCAGCGTGCCCTGTTTGATTTGGACGCCAATGTGCTTTCTCGTGAGATGCTCACCGCCATGCTGGCGCAAGCCCCCACGGATGAGGTGCGCGCGGAGTTTCTCAAAAACGCCAACAAAAAACCCGAAGAAGAGTACGAACCACAAGAAAAGTACATGGCAATGATGATCGCTATGCCGGAGTTCAGGCGACGTGTCTCTGCGTGGCTCTTCTCAATAGAATGGGAAGAGAGTCGTCAGGCCGTGTTGAAGCCAATGCATCGTTTACAGGAGAGTATGGTGGCCGTGCTGAACAGCAAATACTTGCCGTACTATCTCGGACTGCTGCTAAATTTTGGTAATATGATGAATTATGGAGATGCACGCAGGGGTAATGCTGGTGCGGTGAATTTAAGCCTTTTGGATAAACTGGAGTTGACGAAAGACAATAAAGGAAAGTTGTCACTTTTCACATACCTTGTGACTACTGTGAAGGTGCGCCGTCCCGAGGCCCTACATCTTATCGATGAGATGAAGCCTGTTTTGACCGCGAATGTGATGCAGATCAGTTGGGGGGACGTGGAGATGGCCATGCAAGAGGCGGAGAAGGCAGTGCAGGTATTCCAGAATCACTGTACCTTTGTGAAAAAGAAACTGGTTGAGCTTGGCACGGATGCGGAGGATCCTTTTGTCCCCTTTGCGGTGGAATTCACGATGCGTGTGACTGGAGAACTGCAGGAACTAAAGCAGCATTACGGCCGTCTTGATAACACACGAATAAAATTTCTGCAGTACTTTGGCATCATTGATGCGAAGAAGAAGCCGGAGGATATATTTTCTCAACTTGTTCCATTCATTGAACGGGTACGAAGGTCGATGCAGGAAATGGTTAAGAAGGAGCGTCGCAACATGAAGAAGGGACAAAAACTTGGAGATGGGGAATTTGCACACGTAGTGCAGAAGCTGCAGGAGCAGGTGGCACTGTAAAAAAGTAGAGGTGAGGCGTGTCTCCCTGTCATATCGATAAATACATCCATGCATGATAACACGTATTATATTATATATATATATATTTTTCTTTTTTTTATTTGTGGCCTTCCTCGCCGCGTCTCGGGCTGAGGGCATGTCTCACCCTCTCTCTCCCTCTCTCTCTGTGTGTTTGTGTGGGTATTGGGCAGAAGCCCTTGTAAATTATTTTGGATGTATTCTTTTCTTGATGCCTTATTGGTGTTTCCTTTCCCTCCTCTCTCTTCTTTTGGTTTTTGTTTTTGTTGTTGTTGTTTTTTTGGTTTTTTGGTTTTTGCTTTTTTCTTTAGTTTAGGGGTGGCGGAATCCAAATGAGAGAACAGATTCTGCGTAGTTTATTCGGCTCCACAAGGAGTGAGCGGGCGGGGCGGTCAGTGCACGACGGGGACGACGCCTCGCACCTGCCAAAAGGCACGGGGTTTAACGAATATTTGGACCATTTTGTACGCATGCCGGAGATGTTGGTGGAGATTGAGTTTTACTTTGCCCTTACGATACTTGGCATGGCGGAGAATCTCCTGTCGATGCTACTCCTTCCACTGAAGTGTATTGTGGCATTTCCGCGCCTCGAACGACGCGATATCGTGGCGTTGGTCCTCATTGTAGTTGGCATGTTGACATACTGCTCCCTATCGTTGTATGCAACACACCTATACGCCTACCTCTACCATGTGGTGCGGCGTACGTCATTTATTAAACTTGTGATGGTCTTTAATATTCTTGAAGTTGTGGACAGGCTACTTTCAGCCCTCTCGCAGGAAGTGATTGAGGTTCTGACAATAAGCGTGCAAAATTGGGACAAAAAACACCCACAACATCCGAGACCCGAGGTACTCTTTACGCATTCATTATGGCTTCCGGTTGGGAGCGCTATACTTTCCGTGGTGTGTGTCGCGGCGCATGCAGTGACGCTGCTGCTCTCTGTTGTCACGCTGAACGTTGCGGTGAATGCGGAGGATCGCCTGCTGCTGGCTCTGATGGTGGGAACGAACCTCAGCGAAGTGAAGGGCGCGGCGTACAAGAAATATAACCGGGAGTCGTTACTGCAGGTGACAGCGGCGGATGCCGTGGAACGATTTAAGTTCCTGCTTTTTGTTCTTGTCATGGCCTTGCAGCACATGCACGAGCGGTTTCATGTATTGGATATTGCCGACATGCTTCTGGTGTTTTTGGGGGAAGTGTTTGTGGATTTTACGAAGCACCTCTTTGTAGCGAAGTTTAATGGCATCTCCCTTAGCGTTTACCGCACCTACGCGCAACTCACGATACTTGACATGGCGGCAGAAACGGTGCTCTGGCGGCTTGGCGACAATATTCACATCCGCTGCGTTGATGAACCGCAACTGCATGTGGACAACGTGAAGACACTTCTGTCGGCGAGCGACGGCTTTTTTCCAAAGTACGTAAAGCGTACTGGTTATATTCCTGTGCCGTATGCAGCACTGCTACTGTGGAGCCTCTACCCGTTTGTCTCTATGATGCTTCTCCGTGCACCATTACTTTTTGCGTTGTCGTTGGCGATTCTTGTTTTATTGAAAATTCTCCTCTCAGAGCTCATCCGCGGTGTCGCAACGCGATTTGTTGTACGTTCACTCATCGTGCTGCAACACAACGAGCCTCGCCGGGGCAATAGTGGGGCCGCCGGTATTCTTTTTGGCGTTTCGCCTCTTGGCACACCGTTTGTTGGGTCGCTCAAGTGCGGTCGAGAGGATGCTGACGGGGGCCCTGTTGCGACTCTGCAATTGACATCCTTTCTGTGCTCTCTTTTGTCCCTTGAGCCGTTCGATCTGCAGGCCGGTAAGGCGAAACGATAGTTTTTACAGCAGTGTATACATATATATATATATATATATATATATATATACGTGGCTGAGGCTGCTGAAATAACCAGCCATCTGCTGCACCGTGTGTCTGCTTAAACAAGAATTCCTTTTTGTGTTGTCTGTGCGTGTATCTACTTTTGTTGGGTGGCCTCCCCGCACCTTCTCCCCCGCGTGTCTGCCGTTAGGTGCATCTCTGCAGGCGCCACTCTTTGGTTAGCATCTCCTTTGTTGTTGTTGTTTTGTTGTTGTTTTTTTGTTTTCGTTTGGAGTGCAAAAGAAATAGAAGAAGTTTTTCCCGTGTTTTTGTCATTTCTACTTTTAAATTCTTAAACAAAGCATTCGCGGGAAATGTCCGTACAGATAAGAGAGATTGAGAGCACACTGCCGCTCGGCCTCTGTGGACTGGACCAGTTGGAATGGTCAGGCCAAGCCGGTGCGGTGTGGGAGTGCTGGAAGCTGGCGCCATGCTGCGGTCATCCGGACCTTTTGGGTGTTATTTACTGCCTGGTGCACTGGACGTGTCTAAGCCCGTTCTCCATGTGTAAGCTGTACGCATCCAGCCTGGATGATCCGTGCTCTGTCTGGCCGCACTGTTTCTGTATTCTCTGCTGCCCCGTTGGCCGGTGGTTCACGCGGTACAACCTGCGAAAAAAGAACGGGACGCGAGGCAACATCATCGGTGACTGCTGCTGCGTCTTCCTCTGTCTGGCTCCCTGTGCATGCTGCCAGGAACTGCGAAGCGTAAATGCATCTGCCTGGCGCCTTTTTCCAGATTTCACCGTGTGTGGAGGGTGCGTTCCGGGTTGTCGCTTCTTGCGGTAGGATGCCATCATCAACAGCGATGCTTTATGCATTGCAATCATCGTACACATGCGTGCGTGAAATTATGTGGACATGCACGTAAAAATATCTGTATATCTACCTATCCATCTATCTATCTATATATATTTATATATATTTATATATCTGTATGTTTCTTTGCTTTTAGAGATATTTAATCGGATGAGGCCAAAATACGTGTGGGAGAGAATTGCGTGCTCATTTTTCTTTTTTTTTTTCTTTTTTTCTTTTTTTTTATGGTGTGCGTGTGTTGTTGTTGTTTTCTTCTGTACAGCTCTCTGTTTGTTTGATTGATTCTTTTTTTTCCCCCAAAAAAAAAGAAAAGAAAAAAAAAATACCGCCGTTTTAAAGGGGAGGGGAGGGCAGCAGGGAGTCCAGAGTTTTGTTTTTTTTTCCTTCTTTGCGACGGCGGTGACGGTGGCGTAGGAGGGGGAGAAAAGAAAAAAAGAAAAATGGCTGGCAATTCGCGATGCCACGGCGGGGCAACGGTTCTCATAGAGTGATGTAAACAAATAAATAAATAAAAAAAAAAAAAAACGGTTGGGGCTTTTTTTTTTGTTTCTCTCTTTTTGTTTATTTATTTATTTATTTATGGTGCATGCGTGTTGGGTGAAACCTTTTTTTTTTTTTTTTTTTTTTTTTTTTCACTTCAAAGGGGGATTTTGTTTTGTTTTTGAGGGGAGGGTGCGTTGAAACGGACGGTCCGCCTCACTTTTGTTGTTTTTCTCTCTGCCTGCCTGCCTGTCTGTCTGTGGATGTGTGCGACGGCCTCAGCCGGGCACATGTTCCCTGATTTTGTTTGTTGTTTTTGTTTGTTTCCGTCATGTCTGTTGGCCCATAAAAAAAAAAAAAAAAAAAGGAGAAAAAAAAGAAAAACGAAGCACATTTTTTTTTTTTTTTTTTTTTTTATATTTGAGAACATAAAATTAAGAGGGATTCAAAAACTCACTTTTTATTATTTTTTTATTTCTTATTTTTGTTGAGGGCCGCCGTGTGTGTGTGTGTGTGTGGGAGGGAGGGAGGGAGGGCGTGTTGTCATGTGCCGTACTTTATGGTGCCTCTCTTGCCCGCTCCCTTCCTTCTTTCTTCATTTTCTGTTTTTGTTGTTTTTTTGTTTTTTTTTGTTTTTCAGAATTCTCCGTGTGCCTCCTCCCATTTCGGGTGGTGCGTGGCGGGGAGAAAGAAGAAGAAGAAGAAGAAGAAGGCGGTTGCGCCGGATCATTTTTTAGTGTGTGTGTGTGTGTGTGTGTGTGCCCGTGCCGCCACTGCACGACTCCGGGTGGTGCCTCCTCCTCAACGCAGGGGAGCGAGAGAGAGAAGGGGGGGAGAGGGAAAGAGCGGCAACGGAAGAAACACAGTAGAACAGGAAAGGAATAGGCACAAAAGTACCGTGGAAGGAGCTGCCACATGTTTACACCGGGCAAGCTGTCACCGTACACCGACAGGCTGCTCCCACGGCATGAGAGAAACGACGGCGGTAAAGGTGGCACCGCCTCCATATCAATGCTGTCAAATTGCTTGAACCAACTTGGCGAAGAGGCGAAGGAGGAAGGCCCAGAGCGGCACATGCACACTGCTTTTACCCCAAACCGCTGTAGTGTGAGGCCGATGGGACAAGGGTATGGCATGAAAAGCAGTAGTTTCACAATGGGTTTGACGACGCGGGAGAAGAGGCGGCCTCCCTCACTTTTTACAACACCCGCATCCTTCTTTGCGCCCACGCAACAACTCACCCCAACGGGGTGGACGAGCAAGCAGATGCCAGTCCTACCGCCATCACAATCACCGCAGAAGGGGCCGACGTTAGCGCCAACCGGGTGCACAATCGGCTGTGAGTCAAACCATGGGCTGAGCCTGAGCTTGCCAGCACAGCAACAGGTAGGAAAGCTCCCTCAATCCCCTGCTGCTGGGGTTATTTGGCCGAATGATCGGAGGTTTGCATGGCCAGAGAAGGCATCGCTGCTTTCGTTATCGGAGGATAAACGCGTGTTGCTGGCGGGTCCTTTTCGTGTGTCAAGTGAGGGATGCCTCACGATGCAGAATGTATTGCTACTGAACGCCGAAAAACGTGGGAGCACTGAGCCTCTGTCTACGGGGAAAGATGCTCCACAGCAGCTCCTTCTCCCAGAAACCATTCTTGTTCCTGCCGAGCCAGTAGTTAACAATTCATTCACCCTCTTATCCGCAAGCATGGACACACGGTACAGCCCCATCACTTATTCATTGGATGCCAACCAAGCAGTATCTCACGATCCCTTCAAGTCTGAGAGTAGAACGCGCTTTCAAGAGAACAGTTTT